CTCCCCCACCTCATTAATCTATCGAAAATTTAATAAAAAAATTTATTTAAACAAACAAAAATAAAATAAAATAAAATTTACCGTTAATATGGTTGGAAAATTTTTTTTTAAAACTAAAAATTAAACTAAAAAAAAACTTAATAATTTCTATAAAAAAAATAAATTATTATTATTATTATTATTATTATTTATCACTAAATCATTTTATTATTTAATAAATCATAATTAAATAACGTTACAAAAACTTTTTTGTTGGTTTTTTTTTTTTTTTTTATTAAATTTTGCCTGAAGCTTCAAGCTGTTGAACACAACAACTGAAACTCACACAACAACCGAAGTCCATGATAATATTTGACTTGTTTAAACGTTATAAATCTTTTGTTTAAAAAAAAAAAAAAATTATAAACTTTTGTTACCTAAATTTAAAAAAAAAAAAAAAATTTAAGTTGATCTAAAATTAAATGACGTAATTATTTAAACAAATAAATAAATAATATATCTCAGAAATATGTGAACGTAACGCGTAAAATTTTTCAATCGGACAAATTTATTTTTTGCTGATATTATTATTATTATTATTATTATTAACTTTTTTAATAAAAAATTTTTAACCGACAAAAAAAAGGCAAATAATAATAATAATAATAAAATATTAATGAATATTTATAAAAACATAAATCACGTTGTTGTTGTTGGTTGTTTTTTGTTACAGACAAAAAAATCATATTTTTAATGTTTTTTAAGGATGAATTACATTATTATTATTATTACAAAAAATATTATTTATAATATAAATTATAATTAAAAATTTATTTTCAAACAATATCAAATTATTATAACGAATAAATGTATAAATTAAAAAAAAAAAAAAAAATTTTTTTTAAATTTTTTTTAAAACCATTTTCCCGCAGTCTTTCTTTTTTTTTTTTTTGTGAACAACTGAATCTACAATATATGTGTAAAACAAACGTATAGATATTGTTTGTTTGTTTGTTTGTTTGTTTGTTTGGGCCATTTAAATTTGGGCATAACGAATAATATCACAGTTTTAAAAAAATTTTAGCCCACACATTTTAGCAACATTAATTTCTTTACTTTTATTTTTACTTTGATTTCTCATTAGATTTTTTTTTTTTTTTTTTTACATAATACATAAATATATATATATATAATTAAAATAATAATAATAATAATAATAGAATTCATTATTAAAGTTTTGGCATTCGATTTAAAAGTACAAAAAAATTCACGTTTGAAAATTTAAATAAAGAGATCTAAAAATATTATTATTTAATTAAACCAAAAAATAAATTAAAAATTTTTTTTTTTTTTAAGTATGTATATATATTCCTAATTAAAAAATCTTTTTTCAATTTTTATTTATTTATTTATAAAATATAATGTTTAATTAAAAACTTTGTTCTTCATTTTAAAAAAATAATTAAAATCGGCAAAAAAAAAAAAAAAAATGTATGAATGCAAATTAGAAAATAACACGTATAAGATTAACGCAAAATAATATTTAATACTTTCTTAATATATATATATCAATAAACAAATAATACAAAAATAATAATAATAATAATTTAAAAAGTTTTTAATTGATTTCGATTGATTGATTGACTCATTACTGCATACTTCCATATTTTCTTGACGTAGGTTTCGAATCTGACCAAGAAGAATCGTTATCCAAATAGTCATTTGATTTTAAAAATGAATTGCTAATTGATTCTCTTAAACGTTCACGAAATGATTTATATTCCATGTTACTCGTTTGATTTCCAAAATCGAAATCCGCAACTTCAATCGTGTATTTGTGTTTGCTTTGAACGTAATAAGCAACCCCGAATATAATCAATATGGTTGCGATTAAACTAAACGAAACGGGTACGATAATCACGGATAACTGAGCATGTTTTTTCACTTTATATATATTCACGGCGATGGGTTTAACAACTCTTGATACTGCGTTTGATATTATCACGACTAAAGTATACTCTGATGGTTTTTTAAATAAATGCTGAATTCCAAAACTGCAATTTCTTATCACTGTTTCATCGTTGCATGTTTCGTTTCCTGTGATGTTGTACAATCCGGATTTCAGGAGAACGCAAAATGCATATGGAGAAGATCCATTACACGATACATTTATGTTTAATATTTCACCATCCATTAACCAATTTGTTCCATTTATAGGTGATATTTTAACTGGAGCTGAAAAAAAAAAAAAAAAAGAAATCAATCAAATCATTTCGATAATAACTATTATGAATGCATCATACATAATTTATTAAAGTACAAGAAAAACAATGAAATACAAAAAATTACTCACCTTTTACAGTAAGATTTGTTCTAAAAAAACCATATGTGTATTTTGGTATTTGAGGAACAATAGAAGAATTAATGCAATACCCATATGGCTTCGATTTGCTGACGGATAAATTATAATTATTTAACCAAATTTTTAATTCTTCATCAATTCCATCCTCAATAATTGATGATATATTTTCTTTTGTTACATTCATATTATTCGATGAAGTAACATTTGGTTGTCCAATTATTAAATTTGTCTTATTATTTTTATCCTCAATAGAATATTCATCATTTTTTTTAATTAGATTTGAAACACTCGAAGCTATTAATATGGCTTCGACAAAATGCATTTTATCAGTTTTTGTGTAATTGAAATCAAACTCGAAATTAAATTTTGGCCCATAATAAATGCAATCGACAAACCAAAAAACTCTAATAAAATTTTTGGATTTTACATAATTAACATAACTATCCTTAAGTAAAATAGTGTGATTTACTGTCATTTCATTTGAAACATATTTTTTCCTAGTGAAATTTCCCTGACTCAATAATATATCGCCAACTAAATATTTGGTAACTTTGAGTTTCATTGATTTTGTATCAACTGTAGTCCTGATTCCAATTATAGATTTTTGAACTTTTACAGTAATTTCATAATCATTTGGAGGGTATTCTAAACCATAAGTTACATTCCAATAAGCTGGAGATTGAATTTCTATTTCATGTGAATGAGGTGGTGAAGCATTGTCACTCCAATGAAATATAAAATAAGAAGTGCTTAAAGAACCCTCATCATCAAAAACTTCAGCTTTAAAATAAGCTGTACCATTTTGAATTACATTTTCAGTACCAGAGAGTACAACAATATAACCTGAAACTGATTTTAGAAAAAATTATTAGTTAAGGTTAAAGTTTAAAAAACAATAATGGGAATTAACTTTGGTCAAAATACTGAAATACAATATTTATATAAAAACCAATTTTTTGCAATAAGTATATGTATATAATAGCATTTAAATGTCAATTGAAAAATAATAAAATAAAACAAATAAAAAATTAAATACATATAAATATATATATATATATATATTTCTTTTTCAAAATATACCTTTAAAAATTTTAACAAACCAAAACCAAATTTCTTATAAATAATGTATTGTTACAAAAATTAGGAATTATGTTTTATTGATCGCTAATTAATATTTCACAAAAAAAGGGAAAGACAAACGTTCACATTTATTGAATCTGTACGTTTTTTTTTATTACATTTTACTCAATAAAGGTTTATTATTTGCACCTAATTGAAATATGAATATTAACTAAATTGCTTTACCTAGTTTTGACAAAACAATGAATGCCGTTAAGAAATATGAAAACATTATCACAAAAAAAAATCAGTTATCATTATAAACTGCAAAATACAGTATTTTAAAACTTCAAAAACTGAAGTTAAAAATATTAAATAATATGTAATAAACTAATCACAAAACAACTACTTTTAATGGTTTCAGTTTATCCAACTTGTTTAAAAAAAAAAAAAAAAATTGCCTTTGACTGATAATACAAGTTTTAATTTTATCTAAAAACCCCTATTACCACATACAATAATTTCAAAAAAAATTTTTTTTTTTACAAAAAATATAGAATGAATTTAAATTTTAAAATGTCGATAAATAAATGAAAAAAAAAACAAAATTTGGCTAAAAAAAATTTTCAAAAAATTTATGGCATTAATTAAGTTGGCAATTCATAAACTGATTAATCTTTGCGATGTCCTAGCTTGGTCAGTTTAAAAACAAAACCAAGTTAGGGAATGAATTATACATTTTGATAAATTTTTTACTATGTATATTTTTGTTTTTTAACTTTATTATTTTGTATGTATATTTTTTATAATGACCTCACTTTTAGAATGTTCTTACATTCGGCGCCGGCTGCAGGAAATGGAAGAAATTTATCCAGAACCACATACCTTAGATCAGTGTGATTGCACTTCTTATTCGTACTTTGGCTTATCTGTAATGTTGTTATCGGTTGGAAGTTATATTTCCGTTCTAGCCCTTGGTAATATCGATGGGTATTTGTTTTCTAATTTAGGGCATATGTGGTTGGTGGGTCCGATATTTATTTGTTCAGGATTAATGATAGCTGTTAAAAGTATTTTATATTTACGTCGAAAAACATTGAGTAAAATGTTAAGTCGGCAACGTGCACTTCTTAGGGTAAATCATTTTTTTTTTTTGTTACTAAAATAATGTTATCGTAAAAAAAATTTTATCGATCACTTATTAAACATATGAGTTTTAATTAAAAGCTAGTTATTGTTTTAATTCATTACTTAGGGTTTTCAACATTTAACTCAGCGACCGGATCAATTACAAATCGAAAGTAGAAACGACAGTTGTCAGACGCTTCCTCCTGCTTATGAAGCACTTATTGATTGTCAAACTTGTTCGAATAAAATTAGAGATCCATCTTTGCCATCATATGAGGAGGCCATGTATTTAAGTAGAGGAAAACTATCTAAATCTGATGAATTTTTTAAAATTCCTTCAGCCAGGTAAACAATTTAATAACAATTTTAAATGATTTAATT